TCTTTTGTTTCTGTTTGTTTCGTCACTGATTCGTTTGATTGTTTGCGCGCTCTTTCATTCTTTTGTTTCTGTTTGTTTCGTCACTGATTCGTTTGTTTTTTGGTGTTCCTTCATTCATTTATCTCTCTTTGTTTCGTCACTGATTCGTTTGTTTGTTTGTGCTCTCTTTCGTTCTTTTGTTTCTGTTTGTTTCGTCACTGATTCGTTTGTATGTTCTCGCGCTCTTTCATTCAATTATCTCTGTTTGTTTCGTCACTGATTCGTTTGATTGTGCTCGCGCTCTTTCATTCATTTGTTTCTGTTTGTTTCGTCACTGATTCGATTGATTGTGCTCGTGCTCTTTCATTCTTTTGTTTGTGTTTGTTTAGTCACTGATTCGTTTGTTTGTTCTCGCGCTCTTTCATTCATTTGTTTCTGTTTGTTTCGTCACTGATTCGTTTGTTTGTTTGTTCGATCTTTCATTTATTTGTTTCTGTTTGTTTCGTCACTGATTCGTTTGTTGGTTTGGTGATCTTTCATTCAATTATCTCTATTTGTTTGGTCACTGATTCGTTTGTTTGTTCTCGCGCTCTTTCATTCATTTGTTTCCGTTTGTTTCGTCACTGATTCGTTTGTCTCTTTGGTGATCTTTCATTCTTTTGTTTCTGTTTGTTTCGTCACTGATTTCTTTGTTTTTTTGGTGTTCTTTCATTCAATTATCTCGGTTTATTTCGTCACTGATTCCTTTATTGGTTTGATGATCTTTCATTCAATTATTTCTGGTTGTTTGGTCACTGATTCGTTTGTTGGTTTGGTGATCTTTCAATCAATTATCTCTCTTTGTTAGGTCACTGATTCGTTTGTTTGTTCTCGCTTTTTTTCATTCTTTTGTTTCTGTTTGTTTGGTCACTGATTCGTTTGATTGTTCTCGCGCTCTTTCATTCAATTATCTCTGTTTGTTTCGTCACTGATTCGTTTGTTTGTTTGCGTTCTCTTTCATTCATTTGTTTCTGGTTGTTTGGTCACTGATTCGTTTGTTGGTTAGGTGTTCTTTCATTCAATTATCTCTGTTTGGTCAATGATTCGTTTGTTTTTTTGGTCTTCTTTCATTCAATTATCTCTTGTTGTTTGGTCACTGATTCGTTTGTTGGTTTGGTGACCTTTCATTCAATTATCTCTGGTTGTTTGGTCACTGATTCGTTTGTTGGTTAGGTGTTCTTTCATTCAATTATCTCTGTTTGGTCAATGATTCGTTTGATTTTTTGGTCTTCTTTCATTCAATTATCTCTGTCTGTTAGGTCACTGATTCGTTTGTTTCTTCTCGCGTTCTTTCACTCTTTTGTTTCTGTTTGTTTCGTCACTGATTCGTTTGTTTGTTTGGTGTTCTTTCATTCAATTATCTCTGTCTGTTAGGTCACTGATTCGTTTGTTTCTTCTCGCGCTCTTTCATTCTTTTGTTTCTGTTTGTTTCGTCACTGATTCGTTTGTTTTTTTTGGTGTTCTTTCATTCATTTATCTCAGTTTGTTTCGTCACTGATTCGTTTGTTTGTTCTCGCGCTCTTTCAT